ACATACCCACCTGACTCAGGACTACCAAGACTGTCACAAATGATCAACTCGCTGTCATTATTCCATTGCCAGGTTTTATAACATGGGAGCCAGCTCAGCCCCAAGGAGACATTACTTTAGAGCACTCTTCGCTCCCAAGGAGGATACTACTCTACTTATTGATCGGTAGACTTCGGAAAATCAGAAATTTCTTGGTAGATAGCGAGGATCTCTCAATGACTGAGTGGGTGAATGCGTGGCACTGTGAAATACAAATTGTGCAAGGCCTGTTGAGGTAGTCGGTCTCACCCAAACAGCAATGGAAGCACTTCAGTTGACTGGGTTTGAAGGGTAAAAGGAGCCAGGCTTTCTGATCCTGAATACTCTTTCGTGGGCTGTGCTGAAAAATATTGTACATCTGTGTGAATGTCAGCCAGGCTAGCATTGGGCATGTCTATCATACCCTTTTTTTCTCCCTCTTCCCCTGGTCTGCTAATACTTGCTGTCTACACTTGTGTACACAGAATGATATTTGGGAAAGGTACTGGAGGGAAGTTGGCATCCATGCTGTGCTTCTAACATGAGTCACTGACTTCAGGGGTAGCAGAGAGGCTAGCCTGTTTGTGTCTTTTCTAATAAAATTAAGGTTTATTTTGGAAATTAGCCCATTTACTTATCTATCAACATTCACATGCAGCATTTGCTTGTGTATTTAATAGAGATTTTTAAACTTCTGAGTGTTTAGGGTCTTTGAAGATTTTATGATGTGTCACCAATTAAGCTCTGTGTCTGTTCAGTCAATACATAGGACACTTACTTACCAAATTCCACAACTATCTGTATATTTACATTCCAAGCAATGCCTCCTTTCTATAAAATAGGATGTGTGCTTAGCTTTGCTGGCACTGAATATGCTATGCTGTCTCTACCTGTTACTTTTACAAAGCTAAACTTGCTCATCAGAGAGAGAGACTTGTTCTGAGTAGAGCATTCACATATTGGTCTCCTCGGTTGTTTACATAAGTGAAAAAATGTCAAATTTGTCCTTGTCTTTCTGGGTTTCTTCCTTTGCAAAATGTGCATGTGAGGAGCCCAAGTCTGTAATTGTATTTCCAGGATCACCTCAAGGACTTGCATTTGCGAGCGGGCTATCCTGAAAATCTAATCTTATTTTTGTCACAATTTCTCTCCTCCAGCTGTTGTAAGTTTCTGAAATGCTCTGAAATTGGTTATGTTTACAGGTCGCGCTCTGGGACCCTACCCTGTGTGAGGGGCGCTATATAATTGCAAGTTGTTGTCGTTTTGGTTCTAATCCAAGTTCTCCATTTGGAAATGTGACATTTCACAGAAAACTAATGTAAAATGCTTATATTTGAGGTAAAATCAACTCTCCAGACTGCCATGACCCTCTCCAACAGCAATTGACCATTTGATTGTCTTCGAAATGCTGCCTTTGTGGCACAAAACTGTCCAGAACTACTATATTGGAATTAGACAGGTGTCTTAAAGATTTGTTCAACTTGGTCTCTCTCAAGCTATCCCTAGGCAGCAAGCAAATCTCTGTGAATACAGCATCTGGTTTTGTTTCCATTTTGGGGAATGTTGTTAGCTTGGGAAGGAATGAAGGTAGGCTTTTAGTATTTGGCTGTTTTTCATTCTATAGATGGCAATTACTTCACACCATTTTTATTGATTTGAGCTAGACAAGTACGCACAATAATTGGAATTCTTTGCAGATCACTTCTGTTGAATGAGGTAGTGCATACTGTTTTCCAACAGGCCTCAAACAATGAGTAGCTTATTGTGATCGCAACAGCAAGAACTGTGGATTTGTTATGTCAATAGGATGCTTTTTGATTGTAAGAGTTATAATAATAATGATCCTTGCAATTGATATATCGCCTTATCACGTCTTTGAGCTGTCTCAAAGCGCTTCACAGAATATACTGTAAAGTGATTGATTGTATATTTTGTGGGCGAAACGCAGTAGTCAATTGCCTATAGCAGTGTCCCACATACACTCGTGTATTGAGTGAACAAATTATAATTACTTATTTTAAAAAAAAATTTAGGGGATTTTTACCCCCGGAAAAGCGATCTGTCAATCTACCTTAACCTTAATCTAACAACAAGTTATCTTCATTCTACTGCATTATCAGGCTCTGTGGTTGGAATAAAAAAGTACCTAATTTTTACAGTTCTTACTGTTTGGAGCAACATTCTACAAATAACTTCTAGTTTTGGATAAAGCCATCTTGGAGTCACCACAAGGGGAAGTATTCAAAAGGATAAGATAATCAAGGATAACTTGTGAATCTTTTTATACCAGTGCATTAAGCATTGTATCGAATGTGCCAATGATCAAATAAATTGGTAATTTGTTTCACGAATGTTGTGGGAGCTTAACTGCACATTGGTTGCCACATTTCCGTACACCTACACAGTCACCACCCTTCACTGCGATTATCTGTGAAGCAGTTTGAGACATTTGATACAACACCAAAAATCTTAAAACGCTATTACTTGCAGAAGAGTATATAATTAGAGAGACCTAACCAGCAAGTCACATTATTCTTGGATGAAACCTTCATGCCTTTGATGAGTACATAAGAAAGAAGTAGAGGAAAGGTGGTGGTAGCAGTTTGCAAAAAAACAGTACAAGGTAATATTTGCCAATTGCTGTTGCATGACAACTCGAGGTGAAAACTAGAAAAGAAGTTGTTTGGACCAGTTCGAAAGGTTGTGAGCTATTGTGATTTGATAATCCTGAGAGATTTAATTCCCACAGTTAGTGGGTAGAGCTGGAACAACCATAGAGGGATTAAATTACATAGCATAAATCACAGGTTGACTTGCCGTAGACGAATGTGAAACAGTGGATTAAGGCAACTACCACATTAGATTTAGTATTCTGCAGTTCGCTAGTAATGCAGTAATTAACAACCTGAAAATAGATGAGAATTATGGTCCTGTGACTACATTTCATAAGAATTGTTAAGGTGAAAAATAGTAATATGGATGTTCAGCGCTCTTAAGAATGTCAATATTGGTCTGTGAGAAGTTCTAGGGAGGATTGAATGGGATGCAGAACTGGAAGGGAAGAACAATGTTTCTTTTTTAAAAGACTATTAACGGATACAGACAGGAAGGATATTCCTTTGGGATAAACATCAAAACGGAGTACACTGTGGCTGAAATAAGGCGGGCAAAAATAACTTAAAGGTTAAGATCTATTTTAGGGTGCTAGGAAACTGACAATAGCAAGGAATGGGAGCAATGTACAAGTCAGTTGGAGATAGCTTGTATCATTAATGAAAATAACACTATATACAACAGCATGATGGACCAGAAGACTTCTTTGCTAGGTTAGGACTAGACTTGAACTTTTTGAGAGGCATTGGGTGCAAATATAGAGAATCAGTAAACACAAATGTGTCAATTTAATTATTCAAATCAGTATTTTAGAATTGAAGATTTGGACCCAGACTCAAATTGTCTTGAATCTGTCGTATTTGGAGAGGTTTCTATAAATAAGCTGTTCATTTGGTTTAGGTGTCCTGTGGAAAACACTGAAAAACATGGAAAAATGGTTCACTTTGATTGTGGAGAGGTACAATATCAATGTGAAGTGATACAAGTGATTCAGGGAAGCCACACGGGTAATAGTGTGGTATATGTATTTGTTTCACTGGCGTAGTTAACTGTGCACTTCTGAGGTGCGAATGGCTTACTGTTGCTCTTAAAGTACCATGGACACTTTATTTTATTTTGTGTATAACCTATTTACTGATGTATGTGATCAAGCATTGATTGTCACTGAGACGGCATAAAATACCGCAGGAAGGGTATTCCATTTTTTCTGATGATCTAATTCTTAACAGTTGGGCCTTCAGCCACTCTGCCTCCACCCTTTGGATCCCCATCCCACATTCCCTTTGTGTTGCTTCCCTCCCTTTCCTCCTTCAAGGCATGTCTCAAGACCTTCCTCTTCGACAGCGCCTTCATCCACCCTCCCTGCCCTCTACCCCCCCTGATCCCAACCCCCAGCTCGGGTCCAAATCCCTGACCATCCAGCGCCTTGGGGCTTCCTCCTGACGAGAAAGGCACTATACAAATGTAATTTTGTACTGTATCATGATGAGCACAATTTTCCATATTTAAAAAAAGCAGCCCTGAACCAATAACCTGAAAACTGTACGCAGCTGCAAAATGATCCCATTTCCGCATTCGTTGGGTTCTTCTTTCTAAAAATGAGCATGAGAGGTTGTGGAACCTACTAGAAGTGACTGCTCCCCATTTTCTGAGCTGCTTGTAACATTTTCCTTCTGAGAGATTTTCAAACCAACACATAATAATATTGCCAATCTTCATCAAGAAATCTGTGAGTGTTAACAATTTTGTGAGAAGTTTTGACTCATTTACCAATAGTTTTGCTTTGTTTTTAATGGAGAGGGCAATTATTAAACATCTGAAAGAGCAATGATCTAGCCCCAGAAACGCCCGTTAGATGTTTGAAAAAGTGATTGTGTGTTTAAAAAGTTGTAAACAATTTAGAGGACGTGACTGCTTTTGTGCCCAACGGACAAGTCTACACATAAATAGATGGAATGAGAAAGCTTGTCATTTAGAATCTGTTGCTTTTAGCATTTCAGTTGGGTTGACTGACTGATTTTCCTGTGTGCTGCGTTGTTACATTTTATAACCATGAAGGGGTAATAGACAGGATTTGTGTTGTACTTTTTATTCCTATGAACTGTGACAATTATTTTACGGAAACCCAAATTTCAACCAATTTTTACAATGGATTTGGAATTCATTGCAATTAGATTTTTTTGATAATAATAATACTTGCGTTAGACATAGCATCTTATCGTTGAGACGTCTCAAAGCCCTTCACAGAATATACTGTAAAATTAATTGACTGTATATTGTAGGCAAAACACAGCAGCCAATTAAAACAAATGTTTTGTTGAAAGAATATAAAGGATTTGTATCACATTTTCAATGTATTTCTTGTACAGACCCCGTGTGGACAGTAATGACATCGCGCTTCCGATTGCCAGCTGGCAGGACCTACAATGTACGAGCATCAGAATTGGCAAGAGATAGACAACACACAGACGTGGTGTGCAACGTACTTCTCCTGGATAACACTGTTCAAGCCTTCAAGGTTACTGTAAGTGAACAGCAGTGATATTTGAATAACTCACTTGTTCATTGTGAACTCATTTATATTTGGTTCTATTCAATGGTAATACAATACAAAATTACTTTTCTATTGCGCCTTTCACGTTGGGAGGACATCCCAAGGTGCTGGGCAGACAGGGATTTGCATCCAAGCGGGGGGATTGGGGCAAGGGAAAAGGGAGGGGTACGAGGGTAGCTGAAGGCTCGGTCGAAGAGGAGGTTCTTGACACATAGCTTGAAGGAGGAAAGGGAGGGAATGATGTGAAGGGAATGTGGGATGGAGTTCCAAAGGGTGGGAGCCGAGAGGCTGAAGGCCTGACCACCAATGGGGGCGTGGGCCGGGCAAGATTCATGGACCAGGCCCCACCCTCTCCCCCCCCCCCCCCCCCCGATCCCGACCCCCAGCGTTGGTCCGAAACACTGACTGTCCAGTGCCTTGTATTGTCCTCCCGACGTGAAAGGCGCTATGCAAATGTAATTTTGTTGTTGAGCGGTGAGAGCAGATATGTTGATAAGGGATTAGCAGGTCAATGCAAGAAAGCGAAGAATTTTGAAAACTAGGACTATAATCCAGCCTTGTCATTACATTTTATACAGTGTAAAATCTAACTTTGTAACATATAAAGCAGATATAGTCTCTGTGGCAGAAAAATGAATAACACATCCACAGTTCCTGTTATTTTTCGTCTTGCCATCCACCAATTGTAATAATTAATGAATAACTGGACTTGATGCAACCCTTTATTGAAATATTTTGAAAAAAATTGTTTTTCTTGAGTTGTCGTTAAATGTTCTTTCTAGAAAGGTGAGGATTGAAACTGAGGCTGGTCCTAATTGGTTGGTGATAAGCAGCATTGGTGGAGGGCATTGAGAAGCTTTTGAAAAGTTGCATTATGCCTCCTCTTCCCATGTATTTGGAGGGTAAAATCAACATGGTGTGTAACTATTGAGCCATAGAGATGTCAAGGCCAGGAAGCCCTGAGTTTGATCGTACTTCATCATTGCTGAGTTGATTGGGAGGAATACAACAAGAAATTACATTTGTTTAGCGCCTTTCACATCAGAAGGACATCCCAATACACAACTGCTCTTGGTATTCCTCAACAAAGAGGGGCGAAACCATTTACGGGTTGGGCTATTAACTGCATACGCAAAACGGACCATATGGACCCACAGTTACATTACTAACCTCTTTCTTTGCTATTAATTACTTTAAGTCTGCACTCTCCAGTTACTGTCTCACCTACCAGTGGAAATAATTTCTTCCTATGTCAGTTATCAAAACCTCTCAGATTTTTTAAAAAAAACTTCCAATGGCAATAATTTGCACTTCCAACTTGGGAGAACATGTAAAAGCACTTTATAAACACCCCGTGGGAGGGAGATGGTAGGGGTGGGCTTGGGGGGTGGGGTGAGATGCTGAAGGTCAGTCAATTAATTGAATCTTTAGACGAGATTTGAAAGCTCGATTTTTATGGTGAGCAGTATGAATTTTGCGAGCTGAATATCTTTTGACATGGGATAGTGGGCAAATGTCCAGTACATTTTGGATAGTTTACGAGGAATCTGTTTCTCTCAGACTCCTAGTTGTTGAACACATAACTTGCGTTTGTTTTTAATAAATGTTGGGTCCCTGCTGAGGGGAGATTTTGAATACAATTGGGTGGGGTATGTGTAACGTGGGCTGAGTTATACTTCCTTTGTGGCCTTGAAGCAGAGGACTTGTTCCATACAGTGTAACAGCATTTTGTTGTGGCAAGCTATTTTTTCAGTTACTCGAGTATTATTGAGCCATGTTTTTAAGCAATGAAATATCTAGAGTTGCTTAACATCAGTTTTTTTTATGAAAAAATACCATCCACCAAAACGACAGTACCTTCTGTGAAACAACGAGCCCATTTCTATTGCATGTTTTTCTTGCCATCAGGGCACTCTTTTTTTAAAAAAAAATCAAATGCTTACAATGAACTTTTTGTTTGAGCTGTTAAATCTAAGTATGAAACGAGAGTGCCGATCATGTCAGTAGGCTTGAAGGGTGAGTAAAGGAGCAGAATTTGCGTGCACAGTTGTTGCTGAATCAGCCCTGTGTTTATGACCATCTCCAATATCATACTTCGACTCCCTTGCAGTTAGACTTGGTAACTCCTTAAAGCCAGTATCGTAATTATTTGATCAGCACTTGCTAACTATATTGCAGTGTTGCAGTTACCACTTTGTGGTTGTCTATGTTCTAGCATGTACAGAAATGTCATGCAAATTAATCTAATACTTGTGATGTCAGCGGTGCTTCTGGTTGCAAATACAGTATAAATGGTTGTTTCCGGTGAAAAAGTTCACCATTGCTGTCCTGGATAAACCTTCCTAAACCCTTTTTCACTGAAACGACAACTGTAGCACTTACTACATGCAAACATGTACCACAATCCAAATTATTTTTGCATTTGTCATTTTGTGAAGGTCAGGTCAGACTTTTTTCCATTTTGTTTCCTCCTCACCCACCCCTGCTATCAGGTTTAGCTTACTTTTACTTTTTAAACTCTGCTTCCTTCAACCAAATGTCACTGTTTGGGCAATGGGAGACATGATCACACACAATCTACTAAGAACCAAAAGAACATGATGACATGATATGTTCTTTGATACCCAGTCAACATCAAACAGCTCCTGGTGAAATAGTTCAAATAGAAGAACAGGTTATTCTTTGTTGTACTGTGAGTGCACATAAATACAAAAGTACAGTATGCTGTTGACGTGCATGCATTGTGACAGAGTACGAGCAATGGTATCTTAGCAAAATATGGAGAATACATAAGTAGCCAAGTGCCATTACGCCCTGGAAAGATTAATGATGATGCAGTTGCATTCAGACAGAAATGCCAATTTAAGGATATTAGCATTTACAATGGTGGCATTACACACAACATTGTGGTCCTGTGAAAGCAACTACTTCCTTATCTTTACATTATTGGGTGTGAAGAAGTCTCAAAACAATTGCAAGTTGGTTTGTAGTTTAGAAAGCTAAATGGCAAGACTTCTTTGGTTATAATTCATGGTTTATACTATACAGTATATATTACCTGAAAGCTTCAACATAATAATAAGAGTCCTTCACAATATACAGAATATACTGCAAAATGAATTGACTATATATATTTTGTGGGCAAAACACGGCAACCAATTACACACAGAGGTGTCTCATGGATAGTTGTGGATCGAGTAACCAAATTATTTTTGAAGGGATTATTAGCTCCAGAAAAGCGATTCGCCAATCAACTGATATACTTGTGCTGTATGTTCTATTTTAATGTGCAGCTGTAAAGAATGAGCATTGGCCCATGGAATTTATGATTTGCATGCCAGAAATTCCTAAAAGTTCCTTTTTTGTAGTTTATGAAATGGTAGCATTAACTTCTGCTTCCTTTACTACTTGCTTATTTCATTTTTTTTGAAAAAACATAACTGACCAGTCTGCAAACATCAGTGCTTTTATCCTTCAATTTCAGATCTTCACATCTTCCTTCTAGTTTACTTCTGACCCTTTATGGGTTTTCCCAGCTCTTCCATTAGATATAAAAGAGTGTGGGGAGAGAGCAGGAAAGTAGGATTAGAGTAGATTGCTCCAAAGGGGAGTTAGCAGTGCAAAAGCCTGATGATTATCTATGAGTATCTTGAATGGATATTTTGTGTGTTAAATTGAAAGCAAGTATTTCTTTAGCGTCCCACGTTGCAGTCACCAACTTCCCAAGGAACGTGTAACGGGACCAGTGCCTTTTCACACATCATCACTTAGATTCATGCCAGTCTGCCATCTGGTTTTCTTTAATATTAAATCTCGCCCTGGTCTGCGCCCATGGAATGTTCAATCCCATCCTTATCTGTGCCCACGGTGTTACAGAAAATGTTCCATGGGCTTGCTGGACATCTATACCAACTGCTGCGACCCACAGTAAAACAATGAGCAATTTGAACACATCTGACCTATCTCTGAAGGACACTGAGGATTCTTGAATAACACAGGCCGACCGTATTATAATGTGCCATGATATAACCTGGATCAATTTATAGTAGTGATTGCACTGTGGCCATGCGATACTTTCCAGCTTGTTGCCCTTACCATGTAGGAAGTGACTTAATTGGTGTTTCCTGCATCAAATACAGGAAATGACATCACGGCAACCAGACAATGATGACGTGCAGGTATACAGACCCTTTTTAGTGGGACAACATGATCCTGGGTTTATTGCATTGAATTCATTACATCGAGGCTTGATGATGCAAACTCATTGCTTGTCGGCCTCCCCAACTCCTCCCTCCATAGGCTGTAGATCATCCAGAACTCTGCACCCCATGTCCTCTGGTGCACCAGGCTCTGTGACCCTATCAACCCCATCCTCGCCCAACTCCACTGGCTTCCCATCACACAGAGGATACAGTTCAAGATCCTGGTCCTCATCTCCATGGTCTTGCTCCCCTCTATCTCTGCGACCACCTAACCCCTCCTACCATCCTGCCTGCTTCACGTCCTCCACCTCTCACGCCCCACAGTTGGCAGGTGGGCCTGCTGCCACTCTGTCCCCACCCTCTGGATCTCCATTGTGTAGTCCCTCCACCTTTCCCCCTCCCTTGCCTCCTTGAAGGCCCATCTCAAGACCCATCTCAGGTCCCTTCTCTTCGACCGTGCTTTTGATCACCCTGCTTCCCCCACTGCCCTCCACCCTCTCCAATCCCGACCCCCAGCTCGGGTCCGAAACTCTGATTGTCCAGCTACTTGGGACATCCTACCGAAGTGAATGGCACTATACAAATGTAATTTTGTTGTTGTTGTTTATGGACTCAAGCTACTGCGTTATAACTGGATCAGTCTGTGCCTGCAATTTGCCTACAGAAATCTTAACTTGGGGCCAGACTCTGCCACTGTCAAGCGTTTATGGACACTACCCCGCGTGAAGGGTGCTATATAAATGCAATTTGTTGTTGTTGTTGACTTTC